ATGACTTATTCAGAGGAGAGAACACCTGGAAAGTGCGACACTCCAGTACTGGACTTCATTCATATTATATGATCTAACATTGATGATAAACCATGGGTCACTTACGATGCAGAACCAAACAGGTGCTCTTTGAAAATGAGTTTCATATGATGTGCTGTCTGGCTAATTCACCAGCAATTAGTTGCTCAGCTGTTACTCTAATATTAGCGTACAATGAAATGGTTTTGCACAGGATGGAGCGGGGCGGATTACATTTGCACATAGTCAGGCCAAACGAAAAATGTGGTGCAAGTTTCTATCGAGGTCAGCCACATTTAGTCTTGCTCAGACCGCGGAAAACCTGCCTAGGCAATGATCCTCAAAAGCTTCTATTTATCTGTGGGGATTTACTAATAGCAGGACAGATGGGACGGCTGTGAGGGGAGGGTGAAGAAACAGTTAAACGTGGCCGATCCCTCCACTCCAGCGCTGCTGTCCGGCACACGAGAGGATCCATATGGAGACAGAAGAGTATTAGTGTAACGTTCATGTATACAGAGGGGGAAGGGAGTCAGGCGACAGCTTTACCTCTCAAATCTTCTTAACAAGTAATGAAACGGAGTGATTTTGATCACCCTGCTTTGCGTTTCATGTGGGGCGAGGATCTTGCTGAAGTTCATAGTAATGCACTTTGCTAAGGCATTCCTTCCAGTAGTTATTGTGCCAAAATTGTGCCAGCTTTAAAAGATGAAAACATCCAGATTTCCTGTTAAAAGGAATGTGGTGTGGAAAAGCGTGCTGCAGGAAAGGTTTTCAGTTGGGGCACTTTTTACTAGAGTGAATATTTCAAAATAGGTTTATTTTTGAAAGTCAGTTTCTATATTGAGAACAGCCTTGGCTACAAACAAATTTCAGCATTATATTATATATTATTATTTTAACACTCATTGAGATTTTGTGACAACATGCCCCAGTAGTTTTAAACTAAGGTACTGTAGTTTTGAACTAGGAGTTTGAAAACAACATTAAAAACAGCTTTGAGATTTAAAAAAAAAAAAAACATTTGTGTAATTGGATATACTTTTATAGTTAATAATATTTAGAATCTCCTTTTTGTTTTGTTTTTTGTTTTGTTTTGAGAAGCAAAACGTTTGGTAAGACTATTTTGTAGCAGCCAGTATAGTTTTTATAATTTTAAATGCAGCCAGGGCTAGTTGTCACAATTTTACTGCTATATTTTTTTTAAGTCCGTTTCTGTATGGACAAAAGCTACAGAAACAGCATTATTGCCGAGGACAAAAGATATTGTTTCTTCCATACATTGAGATTTTGTGACAACATGCCCCAATAGTTTTAATAGAGTTTTGAACTAGTTGTTTGAAAACAACATATAAAACCATTTCGTAATAAAAAAAACATTTGACTTTTGACTTCAACCTTTAGTTACTGACATTTATATTTTCCCGCAGTGTGACAACAAGCCCCGGTTTCCCTATTTGCTTGAAGAAACAACTAAATATATCCAGCAGTTTAGATCCTTTCTGTCTTTTTCCAAATTACGTTTTTGAGAAGTAAAAAGTTTGACAGCTCTTTGATACGAAGCATTTTTAGATACGTCTAAAAACTCCATGAAACTCAATCCTACAATTAGTCAATAGTCATTGCGGTGAATAAAATCAAAATATGAGCGTGCAGTGGTCTGTCGAGAGTCTTTACCCTACAATAACGGAGTATTACCACCGTCTAGCCCTCCCTTCTAGTCTAGTCAGCTAGAGGCTTGACGCAGATGGCAACAACCAGGGTAGACCTACAACAGCTGGTATAGGTCTAAGCTCATAACAAAATGGATCAACGGGCACAGCTATACGACAAGCCACGAGGCTACGGATGGACGCTTTACGGATATTTTAGTCTGTGGGGCTTCGGGAAATGACTGGTCTTATTAAACGAAAATCACAGAAGGTTAAGCAGCTGCAAAGCTTCGGAGGTATTTAAAAATTTCCCCCAACTATTTCCCCCTGACTGTGCATAAGACTTCCTGGTACGGATTAGAGGCTGCAGCTACATGTGGTGTTGTGGCTACATACCTTCAGTCAGTCAAAACCCAATCTGCTGCTTAGTTTTCCTTCTCCCCGGGCCAGAAATCGCCAAAAGCCAAATGGATGATGGAGAGGGGGAGAAAAAAGAAAGAGATCAATATGAAGATAAAGCGTGCAAAACTTTGTTGGAGATGAATCGTGGAAAATGGGAGAGAATGATGGAGGAGACAGGATGGATCCGTCGTTTAGATGAAAGCGGAGATAAAAGACATAGAAAATCAACCTATGACACACAATCTTTAAGAAATATCACCCTCGACTCTTACTAGGCCATCACACTCCCTAGAGCTATGATTTGGATGAGTGCGAGAAGGTGTGTGTGTGTGTGTGAGAGAGAGAGAGAGAGGGAGAGAGGGAGAAAGGCGACATAGTCCTGGATTTCTGTCACCAGAAACTTAAGCCAAAAGAGAAATCTGTGCTTTTAAAACGTAACATTTCTGAAACGTTACATTCCATTAGAGGAAAACATTGGCTAACCCCTCCTTTGGCTCATCGGCTCTCAAAGGGTCTGTCTAAGCTGGAACATACCAAACCACTCGACTTTCTGGTTTCTAACCAATATGGCAGCAATTAAAGACATATGTGGATTTTCATATAAGAAGTTTTCTAAAGAAGCATATACAGACATGCATAGCTGCATAGTATCAAAACTTATTTGGTTTCTTTGAATTCTAACCAATATAAAATTGAAAGTAAAATAGGGTGCACATATTGTATGTCTAATAGAAATTCATAATTTAGAAATGGTTTAAACTATTATAAACGTATTTTTATAAATAAAATAAAAAACAACAACAAAGAATAAAAAAAATGCTTAACCAATTAAAAATTAGCCACAGTGACATCACTGTCATGCATGTCCATCAGAACCTAACATGACAGTAGAAGGTAAGGTGCATCCTAATTCGCATACTTATGCACTATTCTATGACATTTTGTCATATAAATAGTGCAAGTAGTGCGTTCACACTGAAAATTAAAAAAGTGCACTTGAATGAAGTGTAGAATGTTGTAGGGGGGCTAAAGAATCTTATAAAATTCAGACACTACACGGTTGAGTATAGTGCACAAGTGTATAGTGTAGTGCGTCATTTGGGATGCAACTGAAGTCTCTAACTGTGCCAGAAATAATTCTTTATAGTGCGCTTCACTAAATATTAAATAGTATATACACCTTCTGTGAACAAATATTTAGCGAACACAATTTTTGGCACCCCTAGTGCAGTTAGCTCTCTTAAAGACAATTTAAAATAAAGCCAATGGTTTTTGTGATATAGCTGTGATGGCAGTAGCCTAGTTACATTTTTTTATGTAATTATTTATTTATTCATTTATTTTGACGTACCGTCCAGTATTCAGCGATCGTGCAGCTGTTACTATGGCTGCCGCCTTACGGGATTGATTTATTTGTTGTTGTTTTTTGCACAAAATTTTGCGCAAATGGACTAATTCGTAATCTTTTGTGGTTAATAAAACACGTAAAAGCTGTTGAAACCAGAGCCGATCCTCCCTATACGCAAAATACGCAAGCTGCGTAGGGCCCCCGAAACACCAGGGGGCCCTCTTGCTCTCAAAGATGATTTAATTTTAGTTTTGTTTTTGAATTTGGCCAGCGGTTATGAAAACATGAATGATTATTTATTTTAATTCGGTGCGCTGTCGCCCTTTCTACGTAAAAATCTGTCAAATCATGTAATGTGAATGTCTTTCAGTCTTGCTCGAGACTTATAAAACGAGTTGAATGCGTACCGAGCAGCAGAAGAGACACTGTTTCTCAAGCGCTTTCCGCGAGTGCGATTCTAGACAGAGTGAAACACGGACAAATGCGTTTCATTCATTCGTTCATAACCACTCATACCCCCAACCACAGTTTTGCGTAGGGCCCCCAGATGTCTAGGATCGGCACAATATAGGCTACTTGTATGTAAAAGGAATCCTTGTCTGTGACCTCCTTTGGGGGTTCAAGCCTTACGGGGGGTCGTGCTTCACCAGATCTCCCTTTAGTTTAGAAAGGACATGGTCTTCTACAATGGAATTTTCTCTTCATATGCTTGATAAAAATTCAATAAAAGTGCCATGCACCAATGCATATGGAAGGCCCACTATATCTTGTTTTCATATGTGACCTGATTCCTTTGTTGGCAAAATGTTTAGCTAAATGGAGGCATTTGCAGTAGTTCAAGTCTAATCCACCTTGCAAGAGGACCTGCCCACACGTGTTTAAATAAACTGCTGCCCCCTACTGATAGAAAACAGTAATACACCATTTGTTCTGAGTATAATCTGTGAATGATATTAAGACTAGAGAATTATTTATTAGAATTATTTATTACCAGCAGGCAAAAGCCACCATTCTCTCCAACAAGATTCGAACTACACACTAAAGCCATTCCAGGCAAGCACAGCTTTAGGCTGGACTGAAATCAAGCACATTAAACTCTTAAAAAATATTCTCTACAAGCTTCGGTATGAATTTGCATAAGGTGACTTATAATGGTGGGGTTAGTGCGCACACACATACACTTTCAATCGCATAAATATCGAGCAAAGCAGTGCACTTCCAAGCTATTGCATTGACGATTTTCATTATTAAGAAGAAGCTTCGCTTAATTCATTTAGCTTTAAATATTTTCCAATTGTTCAATAGCATATGGAAATTCATAACAACAATTTGTGTAAGCCTAAGGCAAAAATGAGCAGCGAGAAGCATTTGGTCTGGCATTAGATGTATGTTGAGTAAATATCTTTGTAAATGCTCCAGTTGACAGCTGAGAGAGTTTGACAGGTCTGTCCTGAAAGCACATGGCTAGAGGTTAAAAGAGCAGATGTTTGCGGTTGTATTATGGGTTACGAAATGAAGCCTTGTGTAACAGTCTGGAATTTCTGCTCTGTTTGGAGATTAATAAACAAAAAAAACTTTAATACAAGGTATATTATTATCACACAATATCTGCAGTGTGGGAGGAATCTGGTATAAAAAAAAAACTTTGAGGCACATTTCCTACATTGGAACAGAGAGGTCACTGATTATAAATTGGGAAACATATATTTTTGGATATATATTATGTGTGTGTGTGTGTGTATAGGTGAATATGCATTTTAAATAGTTTTCTTGGGTATATAGGTAGCATCAGCAAATTAATAATTCATCAGTAATTCAGCAAGCAGTGCAGCAATAAAGGCCTCTCAAAACAAAAAGAAAAGTAAGCAGAGATTGATATTGGGTGCAATTAAAAACAACTGTCTCTAAAATCGAATTATAAAAATGATAATCAATCAGAGTTCAGTTCAGTTTCGTAACACGTGATTGAATAGTGACTCGTCTTACAGGGGTTTGATTTGCATTACGATTGGCTACCAGCTCCTGTAGCTGCAGAGCTCCGCCTCCAATGAAACAGAAAGCAGGGCACACAGGGGCGGAGCAGTCCACAGGCCCCTCCCATAGTGGGCGGAGAGAGTGGGCATCGTAAAACGTAACACGCCCCTTCTCAAAGTCGAGACACACTCCTAGTCTCGGAGGCAGTGGATAGGTGACGCCAGTTGGCGATGAAGGCCCGTTGCCATTAGTGAAGCCAGACTCTCTGTAATTGGCGTTGGTGTGATGTGAGTTGGCGGAGGAGGGCAGGAAGATCTTGCCCATGCCCATTGTGAGGAAAGAGAAAGGGGGAGGAGAATCCGACGAATCCTCGGCTCCACTGTCATGGCCGCTGTCTGGATCATATCTATCAGACAGACAAGATGGATTCAATACGGTTAAAGCTAGCATGAAAAATGATTTTGAAAACAATGGTGTCATCATCCCGCTCAATTCAGTTGCAGTTTTGTTCTCATCCAGAAGTGTCAGTGCACTCAATTCGAAGAACCTCTGATATCCATGGAACTTTTCCATTACACAAAAGGTGGAAAAGGTTACTTTTTTTTTTAATTATGCTAAGAAAACATTAACATTAACATATCTACTTCCTCTTCTCATTTCATCAGGTATTTTTTGTCCTTTTCCTTTGTTCATTTTTGAGATTTTGTTCTTACCTTGGACTAGCCATATCTTGAGGCAGATGAAACCACTCCTGAAGTTTGGACTCCAGGCCCACTCCAACCTGTAGAACAGAGCCAAGGACAAAAAATGAGGGAAAAAGTGATATAAAAAGAAAAGTTACAGGGAAGACAGTTAGTATATTTTTCTTCTTTACAGAACTCGCCTTAACCAGATATGAGCCGGGCTCCACTGAGCATGCCCAATAGTGTCGGCCCTGCGTTATGGCCACGTCACCCACAAGCAGATCAGCTGTCAGGTGACAGGAAGTGAGGGCCCGATCGGCGGCCTGCAGCAGGGAGAGACCGGGCACACTGCGAGCACACCTCTGCTCCTTACTCACCACCAGTCTGTCCGCGTGCAGACCCCAACGAGAGTCCAGGTAAAAATTCAACACTGGCGGGGAGGCGGGAGGAAGACAACAGCGAGGGAATACGGGAGAAATTTAGAAGGGGATAGAAGAAGAGGGGAAAGAGGGACACAGTATTAAGGCACCAAAAGGAGGGACGTTAGAGTGGGTGGAAAGGGAGAATAGAAGTATATAGAATATGCAAAAGGAGGACAAGGCATAAAAACAGCAATCAGGAAAACAGTAAACAAGGAAAGAAGACAAAGAAATGCACTCTGGGAATAGCAGGGTAAAATCAAGACTGCAAAAAGCAGGAAGATTTGCATTCCAGCAGACAGGCAGAGAAGAAAAGGTGTATTTCCTCATTAGTATTTCAGAGTTAAAGTCTATTCATATCAAAAGCTAATTTATTTCATCTTACAAATCTGATTCATGTCTTTGTATCCCTTGTTTTCATTTATAGCAAGAAGCTAATGTTGGCGTTTTGTCGTGAACATCTGCCTTCTGGTTGGATGTTGCAAATCTTGGATTATTATTTGTAACATAGGCCTCCATTTAATGTGATTAATAAACATTATGGAGCATTAAAGTTTGCTTATGGCCACATTTACAAAGTGGATGGGTCAACATTCACGTAATGTTTCACTACATTGAGGGTTTTGTATGGAAAATAAACATACTGGCGGTTTAAAGAATGAATGGCTCAAAGAATCAAATGATGAGGGAATTATAAACAAGAAAAGAAATATAGTAACAGAAAGATTTTTAAGGGCTTTAAAAAGGGAGCAGGAAAGGTGGCTGTATAGCGCTGTTGTCACTAAAGCTGGAAAACATGGAAAAACCAAAGGTTGTAGAGAAGGAGATGGGAATGGATAAAAAAAGAAAAGAAGATAAATGAGCAGATGAGTATCATTTGGGAATGAATTTTGTTTGTGTTGAAAAATCCTCAGAAGGTGTTTCTTACCTGGAGCTGGTGGTGTGTGTAAATATACTTCCTCACTGTATTCGCCAAAGCCGGCCTTGTTGCAGCCTCTCACCCTCAGCACATACACACTGTCCATCTCCAGCCTGTCAATCACCGCACAGGTCCCGGTCACCTCCTCCAATCTCTGCCAGCCCCAACGCCGGAATTCCACAGAGTAATGCCAGGCAGGAGTGGAGTCTTGAGGTGACCTCCAGCACAAAAAGAGCTGGTCGTAGGCGAGGGTTCGCTGGGTGTCAATCACAGGAGCGAGAGGGGCTGATGGGATAGGTCATTTTAGTTGGGGTTAGATTACATGACATTGCAACCAGATTACTTTTTGCAAGTAAAGTAACATCCAGTTTTCACCTGTCATATCTGTCATAACACAATGTTATTATATCAGCAGGGATTCTGCAGAGTTTTTAAAATCATTTTAAAGACCTTTTTAAGTCCTGCACAAATAAAATGAACACCATAAGCCCATTTCAAACAAACCCCAAAAATCTTATTGTTTTACTTAATTAAATAGGATATGGCACACATTCAACTGCAGGTTTAAAATACTTAAGATATGTTTTATTCAATATACCTTTGTACTGAAAGTACTTAATGTACTAACATAACAATACATGTGAATTAGAAGTTAACTGATGTTGGATTTTGCTATTATGATAATAATGTGTTTAAATAAAAGCTGTTACAGAATCAGACTACAGTGATCGTGCTATATTGGTTCTTTTTGGTGAATCAAAACATACAGTGTGACCAGTGTAGTCCCATAATACAACAAACGAGTCTTATGAGTCAATTCTTTTAGTGAATCGAGATGTACAGTGCGACCAATGTAGTCCGATTCCCGAACTAATGACTCATATGAGTCAGATTTTTTTGGTGAATCAAAACAAACAGATGACCAGTGTAATTCAAGTGATTCCAAATGAATGACTCTTAAGAACCGGTTTGTTTTAGTGAATCAAATTCATACAATGAGTCAATCAAACTGCTTCCAGAATGAAAAATGTGTGCAATCTGGGTTTTTTAGCAAATCAAACACATGCACCTTACTGTGTAATTGTGTAATTAAGGATTGCCAGTCTTAAATAAAGCAGTGTAGTACTGATCTAACAGCTCATTATGGATACACATCAAAGATAGACATTATGAGCTTGTCAGCAGTATTTTATAAAATGTTAGTGATCATTAATTCCCTTTCCTACCCTGAATGAAGTTCAGGTCTGTGAGGAGTTTGAGCTCTCTGGAAACATCAAGCTGGAAGTGTCGGAACGAAGGATCAGCAGAGAGAGAGAAACGCTGCATAGATTCAATAGACTGGGCCAATCTGCCAGAAAAAGAGATAACAGTCCAGTGTTTTCGGATTTTGGTAACAGACATCAGTATTATCGGCAGATAGTAAGGTGGGTAAGCCATCCCACCTGTTGTGTGTTATTCTGGCTGCATGCACAAAGCTCGATGGGTCATTTTCTTTGAGCAGCTCTTGAGTGAAAGCCATCAAGCCGGCGTGCTCCAGCAGGCTCCGTTTTTCGGCCACCTGATTGGTCAAAGCCTCTGCCCTTCTCTGCCGTGAGCTTTCCAGAGCCTGGGCCAGCATTGTCTGCCGCTCGGTCAGCAACGCCATTATCTCCTTCACGCAGTGAGAGAGCTGCTCTTTGGCTGATACGCTGTTCACCTGCATTCATGCACACAGACAATTGCTCAGCACATCAAACACCTGCTTTCCTTTTGTGACAGAGTTGGGAAAGGTGACCGTACCTCAGTTTGAGTGATGGCATTTTCCAGTTGTGTGATCTGAGTCAACACCATGTCCTGATTGGACAGGATGTAGTTCAGCTCCTTGGTGATCTTGTCCTAGGGTTTAAAAACAACACACAATGTAAAAGATTTTTCATTTAAATCTGGCGCCTTTATTGAGAAGGTTAATAATAGTGATGTTTTGCCTTCTTCTAGTTTGGCATCGATTCTACAAGTAGAAATGTAAAAAAAAATGAAGTGAAAATTGTTGTAAGTGATATGATGCATTTGTATTTTTAGCAGTAAAGAAAAATAGACATAATATTATAGCCCATTTGTGATCAGATTTTGTAAAGCTTTCACATGTCATTGTGAATGAGAAATATAATCTTATTGGATCATTTAGTGACCTCTCAAATCCTTTGGATCATGGGAATACTGTCATCCTAAAGAAAAAACAGTCCTGTTAAAGTAAAAAAAAAAAACTACAGAAGAATCACCCACAATGGTGTGTGTTTACTGCTGATTTCCTGGCTTTCAAGAGTTCATAAACTATAGATCTAAGACATGCGATGAATAGACTTAAACATCACAGCTAAACAAACTGAACACCATTGTGCAAAATGTTTGTGATGGATAAACTCATCTGATCACATGACGTTCCCCATTGTTGTAGTTTTTTTTTTTGCTTCTAACTCCATATGATTACAGTAAGTGCTTAAGGTACTGCACTGGCACTGCCATTAGGTGGCCCTTTTGTTACTTTTTAAAAAATGATTTTATTTGCCCATACTTTGCTTTTAAAAAAGTTTTAAATCAATTTCTCTACAAGAGAAAAACATGGCAGTGTTTGACAGTGATTTATGCCAGGTACATCACTAAAATCGAGATGAATTGAAAACATACCTTAAGAGTCTGGTAGGCTTGGGTAACGGGCGCAATCTTGTGACCCGCATGGATTCGACGCAGTTTACAGAGTGAACAAAGAAGCATCTGACATGACTTACAGTAAAACTGCAGCCTCTCCTGATCATGTTCTGGGCATGTCAACACCTAGAGAGACAGAAAGAAACTTTACGATACACTATGGCAACCATCGCCATTGGCTAGTAAATTTTTTAGTTTACTCGCCAGACTGATATATATATATATATATAATAAATGTTTGTAAAATGGCACAGTTTTTTTAAATATCTGAAAGTACACTCTTAACATCAGTCAGTCAAGCATTATGATATGATAATCAAGTATTATTTAATGATAGAACTTTAGTAATTAGAATTGAAACTTGATAACCATGTTTGAATGCATATTAGTCATTTTAACTGAACATTTTAATTGGACTGGTGGTGGTGCTTTTTTTGGTCATTTAGTGTTTCTGTAAAAACAAAAATTGGGAAAAAACTAACAAAAATACTGATAAGATAATAATGATACGAATTCTACTAATAAGAACAATATAAAACGCACTAAGGATTAATGAGCTGCTGTATTCATGAATATTAATCAGGTTGTGTGCGTTCGCTCGAACTGATTTGCTGAAATCAAAACAGGGACGATAATAGGTGAGCGCCAGCCAATGAGATTGTCGTTTGCGCATTAGTACCGCCCCACTACCGGAAAACCCGGCAGTTCTTAAAAGCTGAAGAATTCCAAAGGAACGCCGTTATTTTGACAGGAAAATAAAACAAAGAATATCGTTTAAATGTAGCGCGTCAATTCTCTCTCTCTCTCTCTGCGTGTGTGTGAGACAAAGCGACAGCGAGTCGTGAGCCTTTACACTAGAGTTCACGGTACGTCAAATACAGGTGCGCTGCGCATCCATTGAGATGAACTGAAAAATGGCACAGATCGCTTGATGGAGAGTAAAACTCTGAAGCGCTCAGTCAGAGTGTTCGGCGAGTGAAAATATATCTGTGCTAAACGTATGCTTAGCCTCCAACTCACACACTGGCGAGTAAAATCTGAGAATTTATTAGCCATTGGTTAATATTAGACATCATTTAGTCGCCCAGAGTAAAGATTTAGCCGCATATGCGAGTGATTTACTCACAATGTAGAGGGTTGTATGGATAAAATAAAGCTGCATCTGCATACTCATTTTGTGAAAATTCAGTTCATTTAGAAATACAGCATATTATGGAAGCAAAAGGGGTTGTGAATGCAGTTTTGTGTTAAATAAAAATAATTTATCAGACCCTGGACAGACCCAAGGTGTGAGAGGTAATCAGGTAGTAATCCTGGGCGGTTCACCTTTGGCCTGAAGTTGAGGGTGGGCTGAACATGTTCATGCTGGGCGCGTGGAGTGCCCCAGGGGTGGTAGAGTTTGAAGCACTCATTACAGAAGCTGGCTCTGCAGTCAGCACAGCCTTTAGTGGCCTCCAGGGCCTGTGGGGGTTTACAGAACTGACACATCACAGCCACACTGCCCAAACTCACTGTGTGCCTGTACCTAGAGAAAGCAAGAGAAAGAGAGAGATCCTGCAGTGAAGTGTTTGTTCATTTGTCTATGTGGTTTTATTCATGTAGATATAGTAACACACAGGCAAAATTGTGTATTCAAGATTCTACTTACAGTAAGATCACTAGGTCACTAATCGAATAAGTAAACATATAAATGCTGAAAATATATTATATTATATTATTATTTATTTAAGATTCTATTTCACTAAAATACACTAATAAAATAAGTAAATATGTATAAATCCTGCATTTATATTCTATTATATATTATTATATATTTATCTAGATCACTAATCAAATAAGTAAATAAGTATGACTGCTCAAATGATATTTGTTGTTAATATTAAATATGATGTTATACTACATCATATACTATACAAATATATAAATGGAATATAAAATTGTGTATTTAATATTTTATTTGAGATTATTAGGCCACTAATGAAACAAGTACATAAGTATAAATGCTGGAAATACATTACATTACATTATATTATATTATATTATATTATATTATATTACAAATAATATAATATCATATCATAAAATATTGTGTCCTTAATTTTATTTAAGATTACTAGGTCAGTAATCAAGCAAGCAAATAAATATAAATCCTCAAAATATTATATTATATTTTATATTGTATTATATTATATTAGTATAATATTAAATTGTGTATTTAAGGTTCTATTTAAGATTTTTAGGTCACTAATAAAGCAAGAAAATAAGTATAAATCCTCAAATGTAATATATTATATTGTGTATTTAAGATTCTATTTAATATTACTAGATCACTAATCAAATAACAAGTATAAATGTTCAAATGATATATATTTTATTACAAAAATATAATATTGTGCATTTAAGTTTCTATTCAAGATCACTAGGTCACTAATCAAATAATTTATTAAGTGTAAACACTGAAAATATATTATATTATTACATTTTAAATATATAATATAATATATAACTTCGGTGTATCTGAATGAGTGTATTTATTACCTTTCTACAATTCTCTCCAGTGTAAGGTTCCTCATGCACTCAGCCAGTCCTCTCTCACCTAGTTCTACATCTCGTCCACAGGGGGCGCAAGGAAAAAGCATGAGAGGTGGAGGGCCTTCCTTTCGCCTGCGGCCTGGGTACGTCCCAGAACCTAAACATACACACAAAGTGAGATAAACTAAATATATATCAACCTGTTTATATGACATTTAAGATGGCGCATACTCTTTCTTGTCTCTACACACCTGAGCGCAACAGGCGGTCCACGCGGTCAGACTTAGGCATGGGTCTGCGCATCTGCCGTGGGGACCGTGTGTTGGGGGTGGAAGCGGGCGAGTTGGGCTCCGGAGGGAGCTCGGGCTGGGGATACCCACTCTGAACCAGCACCTCGGAGGCACACATGAGACACACGCTGTGCAGGCAGGGAAGTACAATAGGCTGCTTCACAATGTCCTTGCACACAGGACACAGCAATTCCTGCTCCATACTCTTCATATTGGACTGATGAATGGAGGAGGAAAAGAAAGGAAATGAGTGAGAGAAAGATAATAGAAGATCTTGACAAATATTGACTACAGTGAAAAACCATTATAAACAAAACACTGCATGTGCTACAACTATAAAATAGACTTTATTAACAGATAAAACTATTTTTTTAAATGTAGTACATATACTGTACTACTATTCAAAAGTAAGATTTTTTTATGTTTTTGAAAGTCATCTTATTCTCATCAAGGCTGCATTTGATCAAAAATAGAGCTGAATTTTCAGCATCATTACTCCAGTCTTCAGTGTCATATGATACTTCAGAAATCATTCTAATATTCTGATTTGATGCTCAAGTAACATTTCTTATTATTATCAATAATGAAAAACAGTTGTGCTGCTTAATATATTTGTGGAAACCGCGATATATATTTTTTTAAGTCCAAAGGAACAGCTTTTATCAATAGATTTTTTTAACAATGTATTCCTTACTGTCAATTCTTATCAATATAATGTGTCCTTGCTAAAAAGTATTCATTTTGTATTCATTCAAAAATGTGCAGTGGTCTTAACATTATTAGTTCCATGCACTACCAGTTGAACTACAGAAAAAATAAATTACAAATAGTAAGCAGTAGCCCCTTCTATGATAAATTTGGGTCCTAAATTTAGGTCCTGAAGTCATATTTGGGACAGAATTTTTTAGCTCTATTAAGAATTATGTCTCTGTTGCACACTGATTTTAAGAAAGAGGAAAGTGGTGGATAAAATGAGTGATGAGACTAGATTTCCATGCTGCCTGGTTGCTGAGAGAGACATGTACACCTTTATAAATAGCTGTCTCTGGTGCACTGCTACTGGCCTGCAGTGCTCTTTAAAAATGGATAGTGACCTGATGTTGATGATTTAAGCAGACAGCTGGGTGACATTGGAAGCTCCGGAAAGGCTACATCAGCTAAAGCATGACCTTGTCCATCAGACTAGCACAGTATAGACATATTTGTGGTGTCTGTTTGAAGACTGTCTAAGCAACAGCATCACGAACGAATATGACACCTGTTTTTCTAAAACATGCACAAACATACACAATTTGCATCTCCATTAAAAAAAACATAGTATAGACAAACAAAACTTGTTAAAAATGAGTTTAGCTAGCCTACTTTGACCTCTAGAAACCACAGTGAAAAATAAATTCTAGTTATTAACTGAATCTGACAACCATTTTCCAGTGCAAATACAATAGGCTAGTTATAATTATTAGCACGCTAGTTATTAGTTAACCACCGGCCAGTCCAATAAAATGGCAATGTGTTCTTAAAATCTAACCGCATATCTTTGTATTAGACACGTTTTTCCATACTTTAAAAATCGAAACGCATGCTTTAGGAAGACCTACAGCAGCTTAATGGGCTTCTTTATCATCACGCGGTCATTCAGCAACGTCGCCTGGCCTTATATGTCACTCCATCTCACAATACTAAGGATTTAACGTGATTTTAGCTATAAAAAAAAATTTTAAACGCGACTGAGGTTTGACCTACAGACTTGACTGTAAACCGGTTAGCACGGTGCACCGGTTCGTGCTGTATTCGGCAGCGCCCTTACCTTCACCTGAAATCTGGGCGCCATTACGAGATGCTGCTGTATGACAGCATTGCTGTCGCAAATCAGTGCGACTTACCGAGATAGACTACACTTTTAATTGCCAAGCATGAAAAGCCTACATGCGGTTTCCAGCCAGCTAAAAATATTACATCGATAAAACACCGCATGCTGTAGAAGCATCACTGCCACATGCACGATGCGGATTTAATACATTGTCTGTTATTCTTGTAAAACATACCGTTTATGTTTCGTTTCGTCGCAGTAGATCATCATATGTCAATGGGGAAATCTTCCGTCGTCCGCCATTGCCTCTTTCAGGTTGAAATGTAGGTTAGTAGGATGTCGCTACATCCGCACGCAGCTGGAGATGCTTTCAAACCGACGCTCTCAGTCTCAAACCCGCATCCAGTTTCCGTGGCAACGAGCACGTCCGCTTCATCAGCAGCACGCTGCAGGTTACTGACCTCAGCATAGCCGAGTCACAACTGAGCTGCTGAATTTAACATGCGTTTTAGTCAAACGGACAGTCTTATCCAATCATTGTAAAACAAAAACATTGTAAAAAAGTAAAACCGTGCAGATGTTACCTGAAGACAGTGTTTCTTGTGTCGAAAGCTTCGAAATGTTTACGAATCTCTCGAATCAGTGATTGGGAGCTTGTATCGAACTCATCAAGTCACGTGATTTAAGTAAACGAGGCTTCGTTACGTTGTACTGTTTCGAATCTGAGCCTGCATCCCAATGTGCACACTATCCATCCTTAATTCTATGTGATATTAGTCATTTTCAATACTATTTAGGGCAGATAGGGTGGATAGTACCAAAGTCCCTAGTATTCTACAGTCTTTGATAGTATGCACATTGGGACGCAGGGTAGGTTTAGAAATATTTTAAATTCCGATGGTTCGCCGCCAGATGGCTTTGATCTGGTGAACCCATGAACGAGTGCTCAATGTTACGGTCAGTTTTATAATGTGGGTTCATTTTTGCGTTTGAATGAATTTTAATATGTCTATGCGAGTATAGTAGGAAGGAGAATGCTCTTTCCTTCTAATTGGCCTGTCCCTGCCTAAAAACACACAAAACAAAACAAAAAAGAACAAGAATTTTACAGAGCCTTCATAATGGTATTTAATTATTACATTTAGATTACACTTTCATGAAACTATTTGCAATTGGTTTGTAAAAGGTGTAAAATGTTTGGGCTGAGTTTTCGTTGCACTTACAGCGTTTTGATCAGCAGATGCCGCCAGCATGCAGGCTAGCCCCTCACTGCAGAACACAAGATCCAGGGGGCGTGGTTGGATCCAGATCTAGGGGGTGGAGATTGGTAGGTTTAGGGGTGGAGATGGGTGGGTTTAGGTATATGTAAGGTGGGAGGAGTTGGATCCACGCCCCCTGGATCTTGTGTTCTGCAATGAGGACCATCTCCCAGCATTGGTGTTTCGAGCGCTTCCAAATAGTGAATCATTTTGCGAAGCAGTCGGTTCAATTGATTCAGAGTTTCGAAAAGCTTCGTTTCTCTTATCTCTATCGGAAGGTGACCACTGACCAGAGAGTAAGAAACACACACACACACAAAAAAGAATGATTTCTTAAGAATCATGTGACACTGAAGACTGGAGTAATGATGCTGAATATTCAGCTTTGCCACCACAGGAATAAATTATATTTCAAATATAGCCTATTTAAAAAGAAAACAATTATTTTAAATTGTAATAGTATTTTATTACTGTTTTACTGTATTTTTGATCAAATAATATCAGCCAAAATGCAGCCTTACTGAATATAAGAGACTTCTTTCAAAAACATAAAAAAATCAAACTTTTGACTGCTAGTAAAGTATGTATATTGTACAATTTCTGGTGTTTCATCTATTAAGTACTAACATTACTGTGCTCCGTTGAGTCATGCAATCTATATAGAACACACAAAGTCCGCTTAACTCATACACTTAGGTATGCTGTGCTGTAATCAATGTATTGCTCAACTTCCCCTGATAAGACCTTCTCCTGCCCACGGGCTCGGCCATATAAATTCTTGAGAGAGATAACCAGCATTTCTCAAATTCTTCACTCAGACACCCAAACGGTAAGCTCTTCATTCTGATGTTTAGCCTTTTGAATGCACTGTCAAGAGATCAGTTGTGTTAATATTAGATTCATACTAGCTTTCTACAGTGAGCAGCCATGCCATCCGAGCTAGAGACTGCCATGGAGTCCCTCATCATGGTATTCCACCGCTACGCTGGAAAAGAGGGCAAGAACGGCACCCTGACCCGCCGTGAACTCCGAACCCTGATGGAGAACGAGCTCTCTGGGTTTCTCAAGGTGAGGAACTTATGTCATTCTCTCACAAATACTATAATTCTGGTCTCCTCTCTTTCATTTTCCCAGAAAATGAAATCCAGACCAAATCTCTTGTTTATCAAACTTATTTTACTCTCTTTTCCCACAGTCTCAGAAGGATCCGACCACCATAGACAGAATTATGAAGGACTTGGATGCCAATGGAGATGGGGAGGTGAACTTTGAGGAGTTTGTGTCTTTGGTTGTGGGTTTGTCCATCGCTTGTGAGGCGTGCTATAGAATGCAGTTAAAGAAGACACAGAGCTGGAAATGAAGAGGAAAAGGATCCATGCAGACAAACTGTAAAGTTGATCCCGTTGTCTATTAAAATATCTGATTGTTTTTTACTTTTCTTTTGAGTTTGTGTTTCATCAGTATCGGATGAAACCCATAAAAACTACTTTCGCTGGCAGGTTAAAGTACAGTGGGTGTGTATGACAGGTCTTAACGCTCTTTGGCAGTATTCTTTGAGCTTTAAACTGTCTGTACTGAAAGCAAATATGTTTTTATTTAACATAAAGCTTTAAAATATTCAAACGTCTTCATGTGCAAAACTTTATATTTAAAATGGCTATTCAGTTATGCCAAGTATGATTCATATCCTGCCGTTTTTTGTACTCTCTCTCTTTACCTCGTTGTCATAATACTTTTACTAGGGTGTGATCCAAGTTGTTAATGGTTACCATGTAAACCCAAGGCTGCTTGGCTGGAAAGAGAGTTATGGAAACTAGAACTCAATAAGCCTTAATCAGGGACAGGGTAGCGCCATATTTAATTTTTGGACAAAAATGAAAACGAGGTTGTAAGGAACAGAAGTACAGTGAATTTAATGGATTGTACTGTTGTTTAAAAACACACCAAATGTTTAAAATAATGAAGTGTTTGCTTTTTGTAAACAAAAACTCCATGAAAGAGTTTTGAAAGTAGTGAGTTGTGAAAATTACACAATTACACAAAATGAACACAATGAAAGTGATGCATGCATACATTTTACATTATGTCCAGTTAATTTTTTCTGCAAAGTACAGACATTTTTGGAGTCTTCATTTTATATAAGATGAATAAAAATGTTCACATTTCTTTAGTTACAGTACATGTTGTCATTAGTCACAGCAGGTAAACCTGTAATTTTGTGGCTTTCTTGTGGTCATGTAATTTTCTGTATTACAATTCAGTTTAGCATTTAGTATCCATAATATATAATATTACACAATATGTACTGTTAATACTAGTGCTACTAATATAATAATAATAAAGATAAATAAAAAGAAACAAAAATTAAGCCTCCACTGCCACAAGACAAATATGCATGATCAGATATTTTGACCACAGCACATTGCCAAGTCATCACAGTCTTGCTTACTTACACAGGGCTTTGCCAAAGTTGCTACTTTTCAGACAGTTGCCACCTTGTTTGCGCTGCTAAAAATACAAATAGCAAACCACCCCATCAGCAAAACCAAATAATCCTAACTGCAAATAATGTTTCGTATGTTTCCTTGTATGCCACAAGAGGGCAGAAAAGATCCATACTACATATATTGACATACACTCTGCAGACATGAATAGAAAAATAAAATAAAATAAAATAAAATAGCTAATCTGTGTCCACCCTAGGACTGTTGTGTCATACCATTTGAACTGTGGTAACAAATAGCTACACCAGATGTCGCACTAGCTTTATAATTCAGTAAATGATTCATATCCTGCCGTTTTTTGTACTCTCTCTCTTTACCTCGTTGTCATAATACTTTTACTAGGGTGTGATCCAAGTTGTTAATGGTTACCATGTAAACCCAAGGCTGCTTGGCTGGAAAGAGAGTTATGGAAACTAGAACTCAATAAGCCTTAATCAGGGACAGGGTAGCGCCATATTTAATTTTTGGACAAAAATGAAAACGAGGTTGTAAGGAACAGAAGTACAGTGAATTTAATGGATTGTACTGTTGTTTAAAAACACACCAAATGTTTAAAATAATGAAGTGTTTGCTTTTTGTAAACAAAAACTCCATGAAAGAGTTTTGAAAGTAGTGAGTTGTGAAAATTACACAATTACACAAAATGAACACAATGAAAGTGATGCATGCATACATTTTACATTATGTCCAGTTAATTTTTTCTGCAAAGTACAGACATTTTTGGAGTCTTCATTTTATATAAGATGAATAAAAATGTTCACATTTCTTTAGTTACAGTACATGTTGTCATTAGTCACAGCAGGTAAACCTGTAATTTTGTGGCTTTCTTGTGGTCATGTAATTTTCTGTATTACAATTCAGTTTAGCATTTAGTATCCATAATATATAATATTACACAATATGTACTGTTAATACTAGTGCTACTAATATAATAATAATAAAGATAAATAAAAAGAAACAAAAATTAAGCCTCCACTGCCACAAGACAAATATGCATGATCAGATATTTTGACCACAGCACATTGCCAAGTCATCACAGTCTTGCTTACTTACACAGGGCTTTGCCAAAGTTGCTACTTTTCAGACAGTTGCCACCTTGTTTGCGCTGCTAAAAATACAAATAGCAAACCACCCCATCAGCAAAACCAAATAATCCTAACTGCAAATAATGTTTCGTATGTTTCCTTGTATGCCACAAGAGGGCAGAAAAGATCCATACTACATATATTGACATACACTCTGCAGACATGAATAGAAAAATAAAATAAAATAAAATAGCTCATCTGTGTCCACCCTAGGACTGTTGTGTCATACCATTTGAACTGTGGTAACAAATAGCTACACCAGATGTCGCACTAGCTTTATAATTCAGTAAGCCTAACACAGAGTTGATGAATGTCATATTTTGCACAATGTTGCTTTTTTCAAAGGTATGTTGATGTCAAAATTTCTGTAATTTATGAAGCATTATGATTATTTCAGACAACACATCACCATCAAATGGTCAAAATACAAAATACAACAATTGTTCTTACTAATGAGTGACTGAGCATAAAGTATAGAGGAAACTAGGGCTAGTAGTTTCAATTTACTCCTGTAAAATTTGGTTAAATTTACTCCTCTGATTTGACCTTCTACCCAAAGTCATTATGTATTTATACTACATAAAGTTACAACATATATGAAGAAAAAAATAAACAAAAAAATCTGAAAATGGTAAATAAATAAATAAATTTACAACATGTTTTGGTCAAAAACATGACAGCTTTGCATATGAAAAATATTCTTGCACTGAAAACAGTTAAACCTTTCTTAAAATCTAAAAATAATAATAAATCTGAAAATGAAGTCAAATCTGAATCTGAGAGTTGATATTTGTCAGAATGTATGTCAGTGTGGTTTTATTGAGCTCAATTGTTTACAAAAAAGATGACGTAATATAAATAGTATTTTTTGGAGATAAATTCACAAAAAAAAATATGAACTAGGTGTCTGAAACCAACGTACAATAAATAAATACTATTAGCGACAACTTTCCCCGGTCCCTTTTTATATTGCATTCTGTTCTGGCATCTGATGATACTTTTTATAATTAGCTATGGTAAAATTGTATCGCTCTAGTAGTTTCTTCTACGCAACTAACTTTCAGTTGTGCCTTGTAAATGTATAGCTACAGGATATCTTCTTACATAATTCACCAAAACAAACGGACAGGCTCCACAGAGGCTCTCTGGCCCCGTCTAAAGGCACTGGACACAGTCTGTGAGGGAAAGTGAAAGAAGTCCTGTGATGGTTGGGCGGGTCAAGCGTATTTCTGGCTTGTTGTTTTGAAGGCCTACGGGAGGAGAGAGGGGGTTAAAAAAAAAACGAGTTAAAGATGGCGGAAATCGAAGGAGATGAGACTGCTCGGCCCGCTCCTCCGTCACTGCTACCCGCAGAAGCGCCCCGCGTTAACGGATCGGGGATGGTCGGTTCTGGTAGCCAGACCCCGACCTTGGTGACCTCGGGTCCGCGCGTGGTTCGGATCGTAAAGTCGGAATCGGGATACGGATTCAACGTCCGCGGTCAAGTGAGTGAAGGCGGCCAGCTGCGGAGCATTAACGGGGAGCTGTACGCTCCTCTCCAGCATGTCAGCGCCGTGTTACCCGGGGGTGCGGCGGACCGGGCCGCTATAGTGAAAGGAGACCGAATACTAGAGGTGTAAGTCTTTCATTTTCCACTTTATTACTCATTTTAGCCTAGAAATCAGCATTGCTCTGCTGTCAGTCCGTTTGACACAGCGCACTGTTGGCTTGACGTTATTTTTAGACGTTAGCATAGGGATCTGTGGACTTGTTTAAGCTTTCGTGGCTGTGCATGCCAACACATCCCTGCTAATACAATAAACGGATCGTTATTATGTAAGACTTGAGCAGATAACGCGTACTGGGAAGTTTTCAAACGCTGAACGGTTGTTGTGTAACAGGATCATTGGTTTGGTGTATTCAATAATTGTGTGTGGCTCCATTGAAGCTTCTACATCTAGAAGAGTCTCGCACTCGGTGACTTGTTGATACATGACAGAAGCATGATCACATGCTGTCATATTGATCTCTTATCATTGATGCAGCTGATAAATGCAGTTCCTGACACGTTAGCATCCTAAAATGTGCTTGATTTTAATATCGTTTGTCCTGGGAAGTGCATAATTGATCATTTTTAAATAGTAAGCAGTCTATAAAAGTGTTCAGTTCATATGTGTTATTAAATGTCCAATACCTGTATTTGGAGCTGGATATAGCCGATATAATGCACATATAATAGCAAATGAGATTACATAAAATTGATACATTTAAAGAAACACACATTTTACATGATATTTAGTGATAAATATCCCAATATTTTGACCGCTTTGAGATGTCCATTTTACTTCTTTTAATAGAGCATCCCTTGTGTCAATTCCAACAAGCTTAAAAATGAATACACAATTTCTGTTTTCTGGTATTTTTAGTGAATGTTGTGTAAAAATGTTTGGGGTCAGTAGGATTGTTTTGTTTTTGAAAGAAGTCTCATGCTTGCAGGATTCTAATAGAAAGTTCAGAAAAACAGAACATTTTGGACAAAGATTGTTTTGTAACATTATAAATGTTTTTACTGTCACTCTTGATCAAGTTGTTTCCTTGCTAAAATAAAACTTGCTTATCAAAAAAACCCTACTAACCCTAAACGTTTGTATATATACAGAATATATATATGCATACAACTTTGATGCCATAAGCTATATTAATGGGGTCATATGATGCGATTTCCATTTTTCCTTTCTTTATGCACCAAGAGCTTGTAACACTCCAAAGAGAAAGGAAAAATTGAAATCGCATCATATGACCCCTTTAAACTTCACCAAAGAATATATGAAAATACATATGTCTGTAAATTTTGACATCAGGCAGAATAACTGATCTTATTAATAGAATATTAATATATTATAAATATATAATAAAATATTGGCTAATTAATTGGCCTTTTACTGTATAATAATATTTGTGTAGTGGTGTAATTTGCCGTATTTACTGCATTGAGCAACTGTGTGAACCCTGAGAACAGTTTTAAGAAAGTATCTTCCTTCAGTGAATATTTTGCAGACGCTGTACATTGCATATTAATTCATAAGCTGCATTATGCATGTATAGAGCCACGCTGCTGGCCATAATTAGTCATTGGAGGTGTCACAGGTAACGTGATCAGCATTATAAAAATGAGACGTATTGGGGTCACTGTTTTATCTTATGGGAAATTCAGAAGTTGAATGAGGCTTCACAAGGGCCGCAGAATGTGCTGTAATCTTCATAATGTCAGTCCCAGTCAATAAACTCAAATGTTAGTGGTGAGCTTTTGCCAGCTTCACTCAGACCACTTTCCACAGACGGTCTTTATCACCTGAACTCGATGTGCAGTGCGGTCATCTAATTTGTGTGTATTACATAAACTCAAGGCATGTGTATGTAAACAATGAAATCGTTTGTGTGCTGCACATTAGTGTCAGGAGTCTACAAGTGTATTTCTATTATTATTCAGTTTTCTATATAAAAATGATGCTGAACTATTTCATAGTTCTTTTTATCGCTCATTGTTCTCTTTAAAACATAACTTTTATTCACATTGAGCATGATCTGATTCGATGTTGCTAATTTTATCCCATGTTGACGTATTACATTCATTGAAAATGTCATGAAAACATTTACCCCTCCTTGAAAGGAAGGAAATGCAAAGGGTTCTTAGGGACATGAAGGTTGTTACTTACTGAGCCTCAGTCAAGTTTACTTTAAAGGGATAGTTTACCCAAAAATGAAAATTCTCATTAATTACTCACGCTCATGTCGTTCCAAACCTGTAAGACCTTCGTTCATCTTCGGAACACAAATTAAGATATTTTTGATGAATTCTGAGAGCTCTCTGACCTCCCATAGACCGAAAAGATCCTTACACGATCAAGGCTCAGAAATATAGCAAGGACATCGTTAAAATAATCCATGTGACATTAGTGGTTCAACCGTAATTTTACAAAGCTACGAGAATACTTTTTGTGTGCAAAGAAAACAAAAATAACGACTTTATTCAACAATTTGCCTCCTCCGCGTCACCCTATAGCGCCCTTTTGGAGAGTATCACATACGTAAACAACGTATGCAGCGTATGTACGCTTTGATCAGAACGTAAACAACGTACAGTGGGGGAAATATTTATTTGATCCCCTGCTAATTTTGATGGAAGAAATACAAAACAACCATCAATCGGCCTCGGTCTGGAGCTCTGTGCAAGATCTTGCCTCATGTGGTAAAAATTATCATGAGAAAGGTGAGGGATCAGCCCATAACTACACGGGAGGAGCTTGTTAATGATCTTAAGGCAGTTGGGACCACAGTCACCAAC